CCTGTTTTTGATGCAGAGCCTGTGGATGCCACAGCCTGGTAAGGAGATGACACGCCAGTCCCTGGTCCCCCGTGCCCCGTGAGCCGGGGGCAGGGGCCTGGGGGCAGTGCCGGTTCCCCTCGCTGGGCAGAGCGGGGGGTCTCTCCCTGTCCCCGAGCAGCAGCAGCAGCAGCAGCGGCCATGGACAAGCTGCCCCCCTCCATGCGCAAGAGACTCTACAGCCTGCCCCAGCAGATCGGACCCAAGGCGTCGATCATGGACGAGGAGGATGACAGCGACAAGGACACCCGCAGGAAAAGCATCAGGCTCAAGCCACTGCCTTCGCCCTCTGCTGGGAGCACCCGGGCCCTCGGGGGGGACCCCGGCCGAGGGGGGGACCCCGGCCTGCTGGAGACGGAGGCCGGCGGCAAGGGCGCCAAGACCAGCACTAACGGGGACTGCCGCCGCTTCAAAGGGAGCCTGTCCTCGCTCACCAGCAGGCACCTCCACGACGCGGCCGAGGAGAAGCGGCTCATCGGCGGCGAGGGGGAGCCGGCCTCTCCCGGGGAGGACAAGAGTCCCCCCGGCAGTGGGGAGCTGGAGCAGGGGCTGCCTGTGCCCCCAGCGCCCGCCTCCCCCCCGGAGCCCCAGCAGCCGCCCCCCCGGGCCTGCTCCTCGACCTCCATCAAAGTGGAGGGAGGTGGAGGGTGCGACCAGATCACCCCAGATGAGGAGCAGAGGCTCGGCCAGGCCGGTTTCATGCAGAGGCAGTTCGGGGCCATGCTCCAGCCGGGGGTCAACAAATTCTCCTTGAGGATGTTTGGCAGCCAGAAGGCCGTGGAGAGGGAGCAGGAAAGAGTTAAGTCTGCCGGGTTCTGGATCATCCATCCCTACAGCGACTTCAGGTACAACCCTCACCTTTCCAACCCCCCCTTTCCTGGCCCACTTCAAAACAGCTGGCCAGCCCCTTCTCATGCCACCTCCAGCACAGGGCACCCACCCCAACAGAACTTTCCTGGGTCATTTCCTAGCCAGAGGAGCTGGAGGACACAGCCAAGATCTGCTCCACTCAAACAAGCTGCAGGTTTCCTTTACATTTCACCTTAATTTTAGTGTCCCCACACTATTAGTAATTTTAAATTGTTTTTAAACAAATTTTCTTTGGGTTTTTATAATGGAAAGGTTTTCTTTAAGTTCGTTGTAAATAGGAAAAGCTGTTCCCACCTGATGCACAACTTTAGATGTCTGATCTTAACTAGTCCTGCATTTCCATGGATGCTCTGCCTGATTGATGCTTCCCATTTTCACACCTCCAAGTCCTCTCCCTGCTCCTTCCCAACAGTTAGGCAGGGATGTTGCTACTGTTGCTGCTGTGTAGGCATCTTACTGCAGCATGGCTTGTCAGGAATTGGGATGTGCAGGGGATGGCATGCTCATGAAAGAGGTTCTTAACAGAGAAAGAGCCTCTTTTGCATCTGTACATCCCCATTTGCAAAATTAGTTTGGATTGGGAGTAGTTAACACTGACTTTGCCAAAGTAATGGCTTGCTCTCACTCCACGCCACCATTTCCGTGCAGGTTAATAAGGAAATAAGCTTGGAAACCCTAGAGCTAGTTCTTGCAAAGTCCTGTATAGTTCTGCATAGAGGGGCTGTGTTTGGGTATTTCTGAGCAAAGTACTCTCTGGTGCACAGGTGAACTGTCCTCTGCAATATGTATGTAAAGCAATCAATAATTAATTACTGAGTGCAATCAATGGCTAAGGTTTATTGCTTCAACTTTAATTACAACGGGCTTACATCTCCCATTTAAAAGCATACAGGAGAAGAATATTAGTCAAACATACCTTTGTCACACTACATGATTTTATTGAATGTGTGGACTCTGCAAGGAACCATGCACGATTCCCACAAATACAGTTAGCGAGATAATTGCAGGAAGGAGTTTCAGGGTGGATTTGGCCTCCCAAAGGCAGGGATGACAGAAACCTCTTGCCACTACCTATTAGGGATTTAGCAAGCAGCCCACATGCTTAGCGGATTCAGCACTGGCACTGACCAGATTCCTTGATATTTGCTTGGATTAACAAATATTATTAGAAGGCTCTGTGAGTTGGAAGACTGCACTGTCATTTAAATTCAGTGCATTCAAGTGTCCCAAGCACACAGCTGACTGAGCTTAGGAGGGTTTCCAGCAGCTACAGCATGATGCAGAGTCCTTGCAAGCACAGCCTTACCCAATCCCACACTGGAACCAGGAGAAAATTGCCTCCCAGTGAGACTGACCAAGTAATAGCTCCCAAACTGAAATGTGAGAATGAGCGGCTTTCAAAAGAACAAAACCAGTTTCGTCCTCTCTGCTATATTTGCAGTATTTGCCATGAGTCTGGAGTTTAACTGCTGTGTTTTCTTGGGTTATTCTAGCAAAGCATGCTCTGTGTGTTGCACCCTCAGGAAATTTGAGGTTTAGTCTCTGCATTGTATCTGGGGTCAGACAAAAGCAGTGTTCAGCTTCCTTCTGTCTCTGTAGTGGGTTTATTCCCTTCCATATCTGTGCCTGTTTTCAGCACAGAACCAGCCTGGCAAACTTCAGCAGCAGGAGATGAGGTAACCACCTTGCCCAAGGTGAGATGGTCCCAAGAGTTTGGATATTTAAGGTTCCTACAGAACCAGTGCTTATTCTGTAAGATGATGAGGTAACTTTTCGTCCCTGAGGCACTTGGCTATGGGGCCAGTTCTAGCCTTGCCCAAAGGAATGGAGTCTGCTGGCAAGCCCTGGCTGCCTGAGCCAGATGATGGCACAGAGCTGCTGGCACGGAGCTGTGTGTGCGCGCAGAGCTCTGTGGGTGCACTGCTGGTGTTAATAACAGCCCCTGCCCAGAGCTGGGAAGGCACAGGGAGCTGTGTGTCTGTACCCTGGGACATTCCAGATGGGCTGGTTTCCTTGGGAGCTGGTGTAGCAGCCCAGCCCAGCCCAGCCCAGCAGCACGGGCTGTGTCCCCGCTGTCACCCTGGGCCTGGGCAGTGGGGTGAGTGTCTGGAGCCATGTTCTGAGCCCGGGAGGAGCTGGATGCACCACTGCCTGCTCAGGGGGGATATTTCCAGGGAGACTGTGTTCACCCCTGTTTCTAGGTCACCTGCAGCAGATCTGCTTGGATAGGAATGCTGCTTAGAGAACTTGGCTTCCATGGAAAGTGACCTGTGGACAATGGCTGCCTTGAAGGGGAAGAGTGAGAGCCTTCCCACCTTCTGTTTGGGCTTTGTGTTCCCTCTTGCCCTCTGCTAAAGCATATCTCTTTGAAAGAACTCCTGTGAATATGGCTAACATTTTTTCACCTCTGGAATTGCAGCAGATTGCACCAAAGAGCAGATCTTATCAAAACGTGTGCAAGAGCTGTATCTGTGCCCCAAAGGAGGGTGCTGTGTGCTCGGGGAATTACGCAGTGCAATTCCTGACTGCTCCGTGTTCCAGCCAGGTGCGCATCCCGGAGCCTGGGGATCCTGGAGGCTCCATTATCCTGCCCTTGGCTGGCACCAAGGCCGTGCAGCAGCGTTTGCTGGTCAAGTTTCAAAGTGAAGAGAGGGTTTAGACCCCGAGCTGCCTTTCTGTGCCTTTGGAGGAAGCTGCCTCCCCTCTGTGAGCGAGGCGCGCGTCCAGGCTCCGGGGCTCCAGCCCTCGTGACTGCCGGCTCCGGGCAGCTGGAGCTGGGAAGTTTGCATGGAACACTCCAGGCCGATGCACTGCTGTGAAATGACATTGGTGCAATTCTCCGGCTCCACGGAGTCGCTGCTCCTTCGCACTCTGCTTCCAGAGGAGTTCCTGATTTGGAGTGGAACAGAGGCTTTCATCATTGTCTCATTAAATTACCATTTTAGCATCTAGCAGGGCTAATTCCGGTGGCAAATCTATGACCCTCCAAGAGTAAAACAAATTAATATAGATTCAGGCTCTGTTGATCTCTGCTTTTAGTCCATTGTGAGGGGAAAAGACACCAAATGACTTTTATAAAAATCAAGCTCAGTGCCCCTGAGTACTCCTGACTAATGCAGTGGGCTGGTTCTAGAAGCACTTAAAAGGTGTCTTAGCAATTTCTAATGAAAATTAAGAATCCTGGCTCCCATTCTGAGGTGCAGATGTGTGTGCTGGCAGCTGGAGTTCATTTGCATCTGTGGTTGATTGCACATCAGTGCAGAGCCACACTGTATTTCCTAGATCAAGATTTATCTGTGACTTTGAAAGCTCTTCCACTGAATAGACAGAATTGTATTTTATTGCTTAGAGGAAGCATTGATCCAGTACAATTGGTTTAATAAAAAAATTCCAGACAAACAATGATCTGTCTAGTTCATAGCTGACTGAAGCATATGGTTGTAGCTGCTGCCCAGAATTGCTTGCAAAAAAAAGTGTAGCATGCTGCTTTTAGAAAGACCTGAGAACAGATACACTATCTGAGGGCCCAAAATAGTCCCAGCAGTGGATGTAAATAGAACTGCACATTATTCACTGCCCAGTAATCTATTAACTTCCTCACAGTGAAGAGAAGCTTCTGTCTCTTTGAAAACAATGGCAAACATTCCGTTCGATAGCAGACCCAGCCACAGATTTTAGGATTCTTCTTTTCACTGCTGTCCATTACTTGTAATACTTGTGTGCAAACAGATCCTTTCTTTCGTTTGCTTCCTCTGCCAGCACTCCCTGGCTGCTGGGACCCTGGGGAGGTTTCTGTGGCAGCAAAAACCAGGTGCTCAGGTGGGAGGTATAAGGGGAAAGAACAAAATCACTGCTTCCCTTTGTGCTGCAGTGTCCCTCAGCCTCCCTTCTCGGGGGGAATCAGTGGGATTTACTAAATATAGTCCTAAGAGCTGAACCCAGTGGCACTGTGGGATGGAGCAGAAATGGGAGGGCTGTGTTTACCTTTCCCACTCTCCTGAGCAGACCTGATTTCCAGTGCCTCTCCAAGTGCTGTTCTGGCTGTGCACACTGTTCTCACTGGGAAGCTTTTCCCCGTGCTTTAGAAGGGTAAACAATTGGTGGAGAGTCCAGCAGTGCTGACTGACTTTGGCAGCTCCCTGCTCTCAGGCAATAATGCCCTTTTGTCCATCTCCTGCCCAAAGTGCTGTTCCTTGTGCTGCCCTCCCTCCATTCCTGCCCACGCCCCAACGCTGAGTCCACGACTTGTGCTTCGCTCCAAGTGCCTGGCACGGAGCAGGATGTGCAGCACTTGGGGCTTCTGGCTCAGGGAAAGGGCAGGGAGCAGTGGCTTTGGTGGCAGGACCTGTGCCAGGTGTTGGGCTCCAACAGGAGCTGGGGGGCAGCTCCCGGGCTTGGCTCTCTTCTCTCTGTGGCGATGGTGTGTCCCTGGGGTGGCAGGGGGACGCTGAACGTGGAGATTGGAGACAGATCCCGCTGCCTTTGCTGAAGAGAACTTCCCAGCCAATTCCCAGGGCACTTTGCTGGAGCAGAACAAGGGGATAATCCAAATTCTGCTGAACACATGGATTGGGTCCCTGTTGTCTTCAGTGGACTTGCAGTCAGGCTGCTGAAGAACCATGGCTCTGTGACTCCCTTAGTTGAGATAGTCACAATAAAAAGCAACACACTCCGTTTTCAAAAGGCTTCAAACCTTGTTTTGTTATAGCATTCATGCTTTCTATACATTCTTGCAAAACTCATAAGTTTACACTTTACTCGTTGGTTATGAGAGACAAAGTGCTTATTGGAACAGGCAGTTGCAGGTTTCTCTTATTTATCCTTTCTTTCTTGGTTTCTGTGTCAAGGACCTTGGTAGAAAATTCTTTCAGGGGTAAACATGGATCCTCTTCTCAAATTTCTCTCTGCCTCACAGAAGTCACTGTAAAACCTCTTCCGCATGTGACCATGAGCTAAGGGAGTGAAACTCCTGCAT